GCTCGTTGTTATTATACATGTAACATTTTACTAATTTAATGATTACTTTTTCGCTATATTCTTTATGTTTCGTCATTTACCACTATGGATATAAACACTTCATTACTTTTATTCCTTTAATTTTCTCCCTCTTCTTTGACTGATATTAGGTAATACAATTTGAACCAATACTCACTCGTAATAGTTCCCTTGTTTTTTCATTCCTAAAGTGGCTGACTTCATAATAAACTAACTAGATGGACAGGTCGACTTTTATTGTCAATATAAAGAATATTTCATCAATTCATGATAACTGTTTATTACACAAAGCAACTAACAGTATTAGCTAAGTTATTCCTGACAAAACTTCTTTCATTTTTGAAGGAGTTTTGTTCTCTGAGCTGGATGGTTTAGTCATGGAGTTGTTATCTTTCTTCTGAACAACATCATCAGCACAAACTTCAGGTAGAAGTGAAGTGTTTGAATATCTCCACATGTGGTTTACAGCTTGTCCTATACGCCTCACTTCTACCTGAAGTTTGTGCTGATGATGTCGTTCAGAAGAACGATGAAGCTCCACGACCAAACCATCCAGCTCAAAGAACAAAACTACCTCAAAATCATCAACGTGAGTTGTAAATCTTCTCCACCATCTCATAACTTCTGTCAACTTTACAAATAATAAGCTAATCCGTTTACAGTCATCAAAAAAGCATTAAATTAATTTCAATTTATTCATCGAATATGGTATTTAACTTTATATTGTCTTCTAACAATTGGATAAAACGAAAGCATTTCACTCACTGTACATTCGAAACTTTAGAAGTTACATCAATCAATAGATTTAATAAATCAGAAATGCTATTAATCTCTCCACTTGGTATTGTTTTGCTTAAATTTTCCCATTAAGGTTTTAAGACTGTAATTGATCAGTCTGTTATTGGTATATTAGTTTCTATTTTCAACTAGTAACTTGTCTTCAATTCTATAAATAATATACTAATGTTAATAAATAATCAACAATTAGTAGTCAATATCAATGGTCAATATTCGATACAAGTTATAATTTATCAATGTAATACATATAACTATTCATGGATTAAAATAACTTATCCACTATCATACCTCTATTTTCTAGGGTATGAGGAAGTAGTTTTTCATATTTTGGATGTTAGTAGTATAACATAAATCATTGAAGAATAATTATTAATCTACAGTATAATGAATAATGTCTTTTGTATTCTATTGACAGTAAAAAAAGAACCAATATAAGATAGTTTAGAAAGTATACGATGCAAAATATTATTTATAATAAAGATATCTGTTCATAAAAAAATTCACCTTAATGTATATCGTTCTGTTGTCATGGTTACCTGTTCACAGATAATCGAAATAAAGTTCACATTATAATGAAGAAAAAAATTTATGTTTAAAATAAATTATAAAATGTAAGTAAATTTCCAGGGGGTTGGAATAAAATAGGTGACATTAACGACCATTAATTGTTCTGTCTTTTAGAGATAGGGAAAATCTTCACTTGTGAGAAATATATTTCATAGAATTGTTTTCTCTGAGTTAATGTTATGAACAAGATGGATGAATAAGCAAGTGAATAGGAGTAATTAGAGCTGACAAGAAGAAATATGTGGAAGAACTAGCAATAACAGCGGAAAATGACGCAACGGAAGGAAATATGATACAGCTATATGACAAAACTAAGAAATTGGTAGACAAATATAGTAAACCAGAGAGACCGGTCAAGAATAAAGGAGGCATGCCGATCATTGAGACATAGAAGCAATTGTAAACATACTCCACATTCCATTCAGGAAGATTTGAGGGGAGGAAGATCAAGTGCTGACACACTGCAAAGAATGATATCTCATCAAGATAACAATGAAAGGAGATCTGAGCAAATGTGAGAACTAAAGGGGCATCACACTACTATCAGTACCAGGGAAAGTCTTCAACAGAGTGTTGCTGAATCAGATGAAAGACTCAGTAGACGCCCAACCTCAAGATCAACAGGATGAATTCCGTAAGGATTGATCGTGTACAGACCAAATCGTCATACAATCAGTTGAGTGGAACTCATCACTATACATCAACTTCATCGAGTATGAGAAAGCGTTTGATAGTGTGAATAGGAGCATATTATGTAACCCTCTTCGATGCTATGGAGTACATGAGAAAATCGTCAATATCATATGAAATTCATACGATGGAATACAATGCAAAGTCGTGCATGGAGAGCAGCTGACAGATGCATTTCGAGTGACGACTGGAGTCAGATAAAGCTGTCTACTCTGCGCCCTTCCCTTTCTTCTGGTGGTCGACTGGATTATGAAGACCTCGACATCTAAGGGGAAGCATGGAATACAATTGATAACTCAGAACCAGTTAGATGATTTGGACTTCGCAAATAACCTAGCCCTTCTATCGCATACACATCAACAAGTGCAGATGAAGACAAACTAGTTTGGCAGCAGCCTCTGCACCGGTAGGCCTCAATATACATAAAGGAAAAAGCAAGATCCTGAAATGCAACACAGAAAAGAGCAATCCAATCACGCTTGATGGCGGAACTCTAGAATATGTGGAATCTTTCACGTACTTGTGAAGGATCATCGATGAACAAGGGGGAATAGATGAAGGCGTGAAGGTAGGAATTGGCAAATTAATGATAGCATTCCCACATCCGAACAACAAATGGAACTAAAAACAACTGTCAACCAATGTCAAAGTCAGAATCTTCAATACGAAAGTCAATACATTTCGACTGTATGGAACTGAAACTTGCACAACGACCACAACCATCATCAAAATGTTGCAAGTATTTCTAAACAATTGTCTACACAATATACTCAATGTCCGTTGACAGCCTTCTGTGGGAGAGAACAAACCAGCTTCTATCTGAAAATGAAATTAGGAAAAGACGTTGGAAGTAGATAGGACACATAATGAGGAAATCATCAAACTTCTTCACGAAGCAAGTGCTAACCTGTAACGCTTAAGGGAAACGGAAAAGTGGAGAACTGAATAACACACTCTGCTAAGAATCGGGAGCAGACATGAAAAGAATAAATAGCAACTGTAAACAAATGGAAAGGATCACTCAGAATAGAGTTGAATAGATAATGCCGGTGGGCGGCCTATGCTCATCGGTGAGTGGTAATAGGCGTAAGTAAGTCATTACAGATAACCTTGATTCGTGTCATAGTTCATTCCATATATGACAAGCTGAAATATAATTTATATTTGGTGGAAAATTCATTTGTTCACTAACATTAGACATATTTAGGTCATTTTAAGGTTAATAGTTAATCATTATAAAATTACTTAGTAGTAAAACAAAAAATGAGGATAATAAATAAGCATTTTACAATCAATTCATTACTCATTTTACAATTATACAAGTTATAGAAAGATGAAAATGAATTATGCTAGCACACTTAAAATGACTAAACTGATGCTCATTAAAACAGCATAAGAACGGAGTACACTTTAGTGTACAGTTTTAATGTAAGGAAGAAACAAAGATAAACAACAACATAGAAAACAGTCAATATAATATATAATATTTTGATGATGTATATTAGTGATCCAATGTATTCTCAGTAGTTGTGCATTTTATTGAATGAATGACTGAATTGTAAATTTTTAACTGTCTTTCTAGTCAGCATTATCTGTTTCGGAATAAAAGAGCTCGTGTTTTCTATTGTTTCGTTTTTTTTTTCATAGAGACATTTATGAATGACCAAATCTTTTATTGGTATTTTTCACAATGTTTTATGTATATATTTTTTTCTGTCCAATATTATCAAACAATAGTTTTACAATGCACATCCATGATCCCGCCTCGCAAGATTCGAATCCAGGACATATCGGTCTCGTGTGCGAACGTTTAATCTCTAGATCATTAATCCGGCATCCAACGGTGTTAATGTCTAACTTCAAATAATCAATGAAATTGAACGACACATCCATCATTGCCTTCAGTGAGTTAATATCTCACAACAGATCCGATTGAACTCCACTGGTCACTGCTTCTCACTAGAACTCCAGGAAATACCTCATGAAGCCAGTCACTAGTGAGCATATGTTGATTAGTGTGAGAAGGGGTTTTGTGGATATTATAGTAATTTTTAATGGTTGAGATCATGAGTCAATTGAGTTCAACGTTTTCTATGGTGATCTAGCTTCAATTCACTCATGATCTCAACTATTAAAAATTACTACAATATACAGAAAACCCCTTCTAATAATAATTTTACAAGTTTCAAAAACAAATGCGAAATTATTGACAAAGAATTAAACATGGGTTAAATTAATGTAAACAAATATCATATTGGGATTCGAAATTTCTCACTTAAAAATCTCTGTCACTTCTATTAGATTTTCATTAGATTTTCTATGTAAATATGTAGTGAATAAGAATACAGATGGGGACAACAAATTGTATTTAAATACACAATTACAAAATATCTTAGTAAAATCTGAGAATCACAAAGTAAATATTTCATTTGCAAAATGTCAATCAATTATCTCAGATTTGATTATTCCTTTATTTTCACACCAATCATTCTTTGTTCTCGTTCTCTTTTCTTTGATCTTCTTAATCTTCTACCGCTAGGCATTCCACTTTTGATTGATAATACATACTACTTGTATCTGTCGGCATTAGTAGTACACACCACAATATTTTAATAAAAAGATGGATATTTAAAAAGAAATAACCAATCTGAAAACTAACACTTCAAAACACAACTAAGTGCAGAAACTAAATTGTGGGTCAACATGTTTATGTTATTAAAGACAAAGTGTTCAATTATTTACAAGATTTATATCGGTAACTATATTGGTAACTACAAAAGCATCTCATATAAAATAATCCTGTTTAATATGGCAACAGGTAATGTATAATGTATATTTTTTTTATTTGACTAATGAGGTTATTCAACTTTATTCTTTTGCAAACCTTAATTTGTTTCTCCCTACATTTTCTTTTTACCATCACATAGATTTGCTTCAGTTTTTGGTTGTCTTGTTCTCAGTGTATTATCTACAATTAATGAGTATGCAGAATCAGCTGGACGAGTTTTACTTTACATGGTAAGTAATATTACATTTATTTATTTGAATATATTTTTTGTTTGCCATTCAGTGTCTTTTTAAAATAAAAATATTAGTAATTGTTTCAGCCGTCTGTAGGAATCTCAGTCTGACGGAATTAGGTAGATTGCTGTTAACACCATGTATTATTGCGAAAGATTGCTCATAAATCTTTATCGATTTTGTTCAAACCAATTGGTGATATGATAGCATTGCAATATGACAGTAATACATCGACTACCAAACCTGGGTAAATATTGACTTCGTTTATAGTAGACTAACAACTGAGAAGCGACTATACTTACAGTAATATCAAAATTAAATGAAAGCTGGGATACTGAATATCTATAAGGGGTAATCAATATTGTTACTGATAAAACCAAATAACGTTTTTAAAAGTAGTTAGTTAGAATTGATTTTTCATGTTTATGAAGTGTTATGATGAATTCTAGTTCTTGATTTATGTAAAGTCTTATGGAAATAAATATAAAATAAGTCTTAAAAAACCATATTATACTTAATTTATCTTACTTATGTTTAAAGCTTTCGGATAACAACAGTTTCGTGGTAGATTTCATCAAGGATTGGAATCAACTTGTGAATCACTGAAACAAACAGCGATGAAAAAAATGAGTCATTCTGTTCTAGGAATTCTCATCAGTGAACATTGACTAGCATTTGATTATCACACCAAGGTTCATAACTATTTACTGTTGAATTAGAATTCAGTGTTTCACTTTGACACTGTTATACAGTCCCATCAATGACATTTATATCACACAGGAGGTGATTCTTACTTAACTCTTTAAAATTCAGTTCTTTATTGGTCATTCAGTTACTGATTAGTTGAATAGTTTGTAAATTTATATTTACGAGCCACTTGATTCGCGTCAAAAAAACCCTGAAAGTATCGTGCTAGCCCCCAGACTCGACATTTTTCAGTATAGTTAGTATTGGGTAGTGGGTGGGTGCTTTTGAGGGGTCCACAGCCGTTACATCTCTCATATGTTCTATGACGTTGAAAGTAATATTAAATATACAATAAAGACTGCATTTATGTTTTATTAAATTTTACAAATGATGCAATTAAACAATAAACATATCTCATTTACAGAATGGGAATTTGTAGAGATTGTAGTATATGTAATAGTTGACTTCATGAGTCGATCTAAACTGGACCACCATTGAAAACCTGAAAGCGCTGGACGACAGTTTCGTCCTAATAAGGGGCTTCTCAACAGTGCTTATGCACCATCTGGCACGCGGGACTCGAACCCAAGACCTTTGATCTCGCACGTAAATACATAACCTCTAGACCAGTGAGCCTCTGTCCAATGATGTTAATGTTTAACGTCAATCGATCTATGATCTTGCGCAACCCTCCATTCATTGTCTGAGGTGGATAACTGTCTCCACCCGATACAGATTGGACTCCACTAGTTACAGGTTCTCACTAGAACTTATTTAGTTGAAAATATAGGAAAATATTTGAAGTCAGAATGAAGAAGACTAGAATGATTTATATGGAGACGGAGGAATATTAGTCAATTTAATCTGGGTAGCTCTATGTTTACAAGTTAGAAAATTATTATAGTTAATTTTGTGAATAATATTACTATTGAGAAGTAGAATCATGTTGTAAAATGACTGCAGCTTCAAAACTTTTAAGTACCAGAATGAGCTGGATAACTGGGTTTTTTTTCGAAATGTGGGATTTCGCAATAGTTCTATAAATTATTTATCATTAAATCAAACTCTGAACGTTCTGGTTTCATAGTAAGTAGCACGATAAATTTGCTTAATAACTCTTTTTTGACATTAGCTTAGAATCATTTTATATTATAAGGTAAACGAATACATAGATAATACGCTTCTTGTGTCCCTATTTAGGAGGAAACAGTAATTTAATAAATCTTAATGTTCATGTGTCAGTTTGTAATAAAAAAACCATCCTACACAATATTTATCACATTATTTCTTCACATTATTAAGAATCATATGAAAGAAGATTAAAAACATACTTGCTAATTAGATTGAAACCAATAAATTTTCCATATTTTATCCCCACAATTCACAAGCATGGACAACAACTAACAGTATATAAGTCAATTTACACTTTTGAACTAATATTTTCAAAAACCCTTTTAGTGAGACTATAATTTATGGACGACCTTTGAGCGACATTAAACTGACCTTGACAGTGTCCACCTAATAACTTGGACCAAATGAAAATTATAAACCAATATGAGTAATTAGAATTATGATGTACAGTTAATGATTAAGGTTAGAAATTAGATTTAGGGTTTTCATCAGCTATAATGTCAAAACTCAATTTAGCCAAATGAATGAATGAATTCTGCGCCAAAATCTGAGACCTGTTATTTTATACCTGATAATTTGGTCCCTTAAATTTTAAACTCACCACCCTTTTTTTTAAAAAAATGCACAACTCGTAAAATTTATTCACCACAATTTTCACAAATGTTAACCAATAAAACTTTAAATTACTGAACAAACTTAAATTATGTAAACAAATCCCTATCTCCCAATTTTGGAGAAGCCCCTATAGAAACTTTTGGGGAAATTTAGGGGAAATAGCACCAAAACCCCAATATTTCCAAAATTTCCCTTTTACCTTGGTGATGGTCATTTGAATTCGGGGATTTCCCCAAACTTTCCCCGAAATTCCCTTGAATTTGTGGTTTTTCCCCAAAATGTCCCCAAACTTGGGAAATTGGGATAGAGGACAATTTAATTCAAACATTTATAACTAATTCATCAATCAGTATATTAAAGAACTAAACAGCGTATCTCTATGATTTTGAAGTAAATCACAGTAAATTAATACAAACTTCTATAATTAACTACAATAAAAGATCCAAAAATATATGTGTAAAGAAAATTAATTCTTTCAATAATTGATTAAGGATAAAACATGGTTAAAGCAAAGCATTTAGATAACTTAATTGATTATAATCAGAGAGAGGTTTTATGGAGATTGTAGTAACTTAATAATTGAATTCATGAGTCAATTGAAGCTAAGTCAACATGAAAGACCTGGAAGCACTAGATGGCCGTCTCCTCTTAGTATAAGAATCCTCAGAGGTGAGCATCCACAATCCCACTTCGCAAGATTCGAACCCAGGACATATCAGTTTCATGCACGAACGTTTAACCTTTAAACCACTGAGCCAAACGGCATCTAACAGTGTTAATATCTAACTTCAACCAATCCACGAACTTGCACCACCGTCCACTATTGTCATCAGTGAGTTACTATCTCACAACAGACGCCGTCCTATACTAGGATGAAACGGCAGTCCAGTGTTTCCAGGTTTTCCATATTTGTCTAGCTTCAATTAACTCATGAATTCAATTATTAATTCAGTTGAAAAAATTATATGTAGAAGAAAACAGGAAAATACTCATTCTAGCATATATATGAAAAGAATAAACAAAAACATTCATTAATTGAATGAAAAACATAGTACTTTTATTTATTTATTTATTACTAGAATAGGAAAATGTAAATCAACCGAAAGAAAATATTAATTATTGGAATTCCTTTATCACATTTGTTTGTATCGATCAGTAGCCAAATCATCGTAACTGTTCCTCATGACATTTGTATAATATATATATGTATGATATTAGTAAATGACAGCAGATTATACATAACTATTGATTTATTAGTAAAATTTATATGAGTATATTGTATAATATATAAACCTTTCAGTTACGGTAATATATGATCTCATCCTTAAGAGGGTATCTAGGTATGGACATTATATATAATACAAGAATGTTTATTGTATTGATTAGAGTTTAATTTCAACTTATTAGTATACATTAAAAGGTTTAAATAATATTGGTAACACAAAGAGATGCTTATAAGTTTGATGATAGAAATCTAGGTTTCACATTTTAAGAAAATATTAAAAGTATAAATAGCCTAAGTTGTAAATAAACTATTAATAAATATTCTCAGAAGGGATTTTGCGGAGATTTTTTAGAAATTTCAATAGTTGTAATCATGAGTTAATTGAAGCTAGATTACTATGGAAAACCTAAAAGCACAGGACGGCCGTTTCGTCCTAGTGTGGGATTCCTCAGCAGTGCGTGTTCACCAAGACAATGGTGACAGTGGAGCAATTTAGTGGACTGATTGGAGTTAGACATTAACACCGTTGGCTGCCTGCCGGCTCAGTGGTCTAATGGTTAATCGCTGGCGCGCGCGAGTGATAGCTCCTGGGTTAATGTCTCGCGGGGGGTGGGATCGTGGATGCGCACTGCCGAGGAGTCCCGTACTAGGACGAAACGGCCGTCCAGTGCTTCCAGGTTTTCCATAGTGGTCTGGCTTCAATTGACTGATGATTTCAACCATTGAAATAAATATTCGACATTTTGCAAAATCATTAAATAATCAGTAATGGAAATTATGAAGCGAAAATATGTAAATTACTAGTAACTATGACTACAAACTAAGAAATAGAGTATCTGATAGAGAAGGTAATAAAAGAAAAATACTAACTTCAACTATAAGATGTGTAAATAATATTTTACTGTGAATTATGAGTAGATTTTACAGTTTGTCAACTATTCATTCTACTTATTACATTTGATTTTTACTGGAGAACATGTTTTTCAACATTTTTCCTTATCAGTTTTAAAGGTTGATATTTCTTGAACAATTCAGATAGAAAATTGTCTTTCTATATTTAATTCGGGATTGGATTTTTTATTCTAATATAAATGAGCTTATTTCTATTTATCAAAAGTATTCGGGTATATATTGCGACAATAAGTGAAAAAATGTTTGAAAACATAAGGTGTTAGGACTCACTAGCTAAGTGGATAACGAGATGGATTTTAAAACGAACGGTATTGGGTTCGAGTTCCAGAGTTACTATCAACGCCGCGATGGAGGTAAATTCAGCTGACGAAACGTGCGTCCTTGATTCCACTGTTAGCCACAATCCATCTTTGCTTATAAAGTTTGTGACTTCACGTAGTTCGCACAGGATAAATATACCAACAAGAGACTGATCAAATGCAGTCCAAAACAGCAATGGGAAGATAGAAGCAAACAAGACCAACATGAACTGATTAGTTATGCATTTGTCCAACATTTGTAACCACGACACAGACATTTTCTACCATTAAGAAATACACATGGATTTTTATTATATGAAGTTAATCTGTGAATTATTTATTTATTTATTATTGCAAGTAATCATCATCATGCCCCTCAAATTTATGCTGAATTTAAACAAATGGTCCACTCAAAAAGATTATTCAAAACTTCACATTTTACTGTAGATATATGGATGACACGTTCATCCTCTGTAAATATAATACGTCACAGCAAGAGGTTCGTAGGCGACTTAATGAAGTACGTCCAGCCATTCAGTTTACATCTGAAGAAGAAAGTGATGGTCGAATAGCCTTTTTGGACGTTCTGTTAACTAAGAGAGCAGATGGATCATTAAAAAGGGACTTAAACAGAAAAAGTACATGGACTAGGCAGTATACTCATTTCCTTAGCTTTGTACCTCCACAGTACAAACGAAACTTGATCAAAGCCCTTACTTACCGTATACGCACTATGTGTTCTGCTGATATAGTTGAAGATGAGCTTAACGCCTTGCATAATACTCTCAGGGAGAACGGTTGCCCTAGAAAGCTTATAATTAAATATATGATCACGAAGGTGAAAATAAGCGGAATGCAAACGGTGAATTAAAAAAATCCCTGTTCATGCATCTACAATGAAGAGGGGGATGTGGCTAGCGAAATATTAACTCAGAGATTACGCAGGACAATACAAAAATCTAACACCGGAGAACTGCGATTAATGTTTTCTACGCATCCAATGATGAGACAGGCTAAAAGATGAATTCCGTGGAATGACCACCTCATTTTGTATTTATCAGTTCGACTGCTCCTGTAGAGCGAGTTATATCGGTCGAAGTTCTAGGAATTTACATTTTTGTGCTCGTGAACACCTCCCAGCGTGGCTAAACAAAGGTTTGATGAAGAAAGTGAACAGCTCGATAATGGCCCATTTAGTAAAAACTGGTCATATTGCCAGTATAAACTAGTCTTTTTCAATTATTTATAAGATCAGTAATTTTTTTCCAAAACTGGTCAGACTGAAAGTCCTTCAATCGGCTGAAGCAATGCCATCCGGATAAAGAAACCGGGGCTATGCCTATAGAAGAAATATCTTCAACCACTCATCCAACGCTGGCCAACATCAAGGCCAATTAATCAATAGTAACCTTAGCTATTGAATGACCTAATTTGACTATGGTACTTACGACGTTTCGTAGTAAAATGTTATTATCTCTATAATCTTTATTCACATATATTTGTTTTATTATTATTATCATCATTATTGTTATTACTGTTGGTTAAACATCATTATCAATCTCTCCAATACATGATTCATTTACTTCTCAGTCATCCCACCTTATTACATCATACTAATATTTTACACAATATAGTCTTTCAATGAACGTTTGATCGAATTGTAATATTTCTCTCACCCTTACTTACGTACTTACTTACTTACTTACGTCTGTTACTCCTCGTGAAGGAGCATAGGCCAACCACCAGCATTCTCCATCCAACCCTGTCCAAAGCAATCCTTTCCAGCTCTTTCTAGTAATTATTCGTCCTTTTCATATCTGCTTCTATTTCCTGACGTAATGTGTTCTTTGGCCTTCCTCTTCTCCGCCTTCCTTCAGGATTCCATGTTAGGGCTTGCCTCGTGATGTAGTTTGATGATTTTCGTAATGTATGTCCTATCCATTTCCATCGTGTTTTCTTAATTTCTTCTTCAGCTGGAAGCTGGTTTGTTCTCTACCTCAGGAAGCTGTTGCTGATGGTATCCGGCCAGTGGATGTTGAGTATCTTGCGTAGACAACCATTTATAAATACTTACACCTTCTTGATGATGGTTGTAGTAGTTCTCCAAGTTTCAGCTCCGTACAGTAAAACTGCCTAGACGTTCGTATTGAAGATTGTGACTTTGATATTGATTGACAGTTGTTTTGAGTCCCATATGTTGTTCAGTTGTAGGAATGCGGCCCTTGCTTTGCCAATCCTCCCCTTTATGCCTGCATGTGATCCTCCTTGTTCATCGATTATGCTTCCCAAGTATGTGAAAGATCCCACATCTTCCAGATTTTCTCCATCAAGAGTGATTGGATCGCTGTTCTCCGTGTTGTATTTGAGGACCTTAGTGTATGTTAAGGCCTACTGATGCCGAGGCTACTGCTACACTGGCTGTCTTTATCTGCATTTGTTCGTGTCCCAATCATCTAATTGGCTCTGAGCTGTCTATTGTATGCCGTGTTTTTCCTCAGACGTCGAGGTCTTCATAATCCAAGATTATCCTGGTTACAAACACTAAATTATTAGAAGACGAAATCTTTAGTTCTTTGATTAGCAACATGGTTTTCAAGTAACCTTTTTTTTAAAAAAAAGTTGCTTTTAGACTTTGCATTCGACACTGAAAATTTATTTACTCAAATCTAATTTATTTACCATTACTACTGTTATAATTATTACTTTGATATATCTAGGCCGTCAATCTAGTAGTTTCACCGTATATTATCATTTTGTTGTTTATATTTTATTCAATTCTATCCAAATAGCTTTTATTATATTAACGGATAAATATTAGTTTAATGGATATATTCAATATATGTATGATGTATGATATACAAACTATCCGTTATAGCATAATCATTCAGTTATATTAATCTTATTTACTTCATAATAAATAAATCATCTTCAAAAATTGAATTTATTCTTTGATTAGTATAATTTATTTATGATTTAATTACATTAAAATAATTAGTTTTGACATAAATAGGATAAACCCTAATTATTCATATGATTCTATATGAGATTTTCTATTATGTATATCAATATATGTATGATACAGTCATTTCAATGTGAATCTCTGTTGATGACGTAATAAAAATGGTATATCAGCTATCTTTTGTAGCTTTGTACTAATGTTTAACTACTCAATAAGTTCTACTTTTTATATGACTGAATGTGAATATCTTCTATAGTTAAAGTACATCATTCATTCATTCATTAAATAGATTGATAATATGAAACTTTGTTTTAATCTTAAAACGTTTAGAAGTTTATTATGTATTAAGTTTTAGATATTAATCGATAATTTTAAGCGTTCCCGCACGAGAATGATAAGTCTTGGATTCAAATCTCGTGGGGTGCGATTGTGGATGTGCACTGTCAAGGAATCTCTTTCTAGGACAAAATGGCCTTCCAAGGTTTCTGAGTTTTCCATGGTGGTCTAGCGTTAATTCACTCATGAATTTAACTATTAAATTAATAATGTTAAGTAAATGCGCTTCATGCTGTCTGTTTACCCTGTTATCATTGATGCTGGTTGACTCGAAATAAGTGACTGATTATATTTTTACCATACTCTTTAGAATGGCATGTAAAATTAACAGTTATTTTGGTGATATGTTTACTTAAAATGTAATCAACTTCCTAATAGGTTTATTGATATTGGTGTGATTTGAATAGTTGAGATCATGAGTCAATTGATGCTAGGCCACTGTGGAAAACCTAGAAGCACTGGACAACCCACTTCGTCCTATTGCGGGACTCCTCAGAAGTGCGCAACCACGATCCCCTCTGATATTGGTGTGATTGTTGATTAAAAGTGATTGTGATTCAATTATATTTTTCTTTCATTTACATGCATAAATTTGAAAATATTTTCTTATTTACAATTTATTTATTAAGGAGCTTGTAATACTCTTTTGGTTTTTTGCTGAATATTGCCTACGTTTATGGAGTGCTGGTTGCCGATCCAGATATCAAACATGGCGTGGAAGGTTACATTTTGCAAGAAGACCATTTTGTATTGTAGGTAAGTTATATTGCCATTGAATAATCTAAACTATAAGAAATGTTGAACGCTAACTATATTTATGAAAATCATTGAAAAATCATTGTTTAATTTCCTAATGTTAGGATTTCAACTCATAAACTCGTTGACCTAATTATTGATTGAGATCATGAACCGATTGATGTTAGACCACCATTGAAAACCCGGAAACACTGGACGGCCGTTTCGTTATATTGTGGGACTTAATGGTGGTCTAACGTCAATCGGTTCATGATCTCAATCAAAAACTTAAAAATCTCCACAACCCTATACTGACCTAATTATTTAACAAATGGTGTTAAGCTGAAGTCAGTACTCAAGATTGTATTTAGTTCAATAACGTTTAATGATGGTTGATGTGAATCAAAGTCTTTCTTTAGAAAAAAGAATCATCTATAATAACATATAAATCTTCCTTTACATATTTAATGAATAATATTAAAAAGGTATTTCGTTAATACAATGGACTCTCAGAGGTATTTTTTCGCCCAATAAATTGTCACCAATCAAGAAAATTCGGATGGAAAAGAAAAATTAAAAATAGAAGTACATTCATTCCACGTAAAATCACCGATAGTGTCCATACATCCAAGTGTTATGCGTATGTATATCGAAACGACTTAAATTTTCACTGAACAGTTCGGTTTTGATTATAAAGGTCTACATCTATTATTGTGGATAAATAATATAGAATTTATACTTTAATCAGTTATTCACTCTATAAATATAAACTCTCTGAGTTACCTGATTTTCAGATTGTTAATGTCGTAGCTTAGATAAAATTAATATTCACTTGGTGTTGTTATACTTGTATCTTCCCATTGCTGTTTAGGACTGCAATTGATCAGTCTCATGTTGACATATGTGCATACTGTGCGGACTGCCTCGATATTGCCTGAATTCACAAATTATTTATGCAAAGATGGATAGTGGCTAGCAGTGTAAACCAGGACGCGCGTTTCGTCCTATTTAGGACACGTCATCTGGATGTACCTGCATTTCAGCGTTGATGGTCACTATTAGACCTGAACCCAGTACCGTAATCCTAGTACCTAGGACTCAGTAGCTAAGTGGATAACGCGATAGTGTTTGGAACGAACAGTGCTGGGTTATACTTCTGGAGTGAAGATCAATTCTGAGATGCAAGTACTTCCAGCTAATAGATAAGGATATTTTCGAAACAGTTACTGCCTTAAATATCATCAGCCCCCAAATTCCCTGGTACGGCCGATAGTGGGGACAGTCAACTCTCCTTCTCGAAATGCTCTCAGATGGCCACGTGGATACAACCACTGGTAGGGAAGTCCTACTCAATGCCTTCTAGTGGCAAGGATGTTGTTTGGTCCTATTTCGGACTCATCAGCCGGATGCACCTGCATCACCGTTCACCTCAAACGTCATCAGATTATCCACTTAGTTATTGAGTCCTAAGTACTAGGATCACGGTACTGGGTTCTGGTCACATAGTGACCATCAACGCTGAAATGCAGGTACATCCAGATGACGTGTCCCAAATAGGATGAAACGTATGTCCTAGATTTCACTATCCATCGTTATTTATATATATAAAATTAAGTTTCAAAACCAGCAAACTCAATTATGTTTTCATAAATTTATTTCCGTTTTATGATTCAATTCCCTCAGTCATTCATATATATATATACGGATAAATTATTTATAATTCATAAATCATCAATAATTTATTTCCATATCTCTAATCTTGTGTAACATAAAGTAGGTTGGCACGAAAATTTATTGATTGTATACTAATACATGTTTTGATGAATATAACAGTTTAACAGTTCTGAATTATGCAACTTTTAGGAAAGTACGGTCTAAGCTCTTTAATAAACAAAAGAGGAAATAACATTTATTCCACCCAATTATAATATAAATAGCTTGTTGAACAAACTCTGTAAACTTCCTGTCCCATTAATCATTATGCGGACTTTAATTAAGAGATTCCAGAAGAGTTTTTGAAATTCTGACTTGTGGGGTATATCAAAGTCGATAATATCTTTCGTTCGATTTATATACAGTTATATACAATTAAAATGCATACCGAAAGGGGTTATGTCTCGTGGTATAATCCATAGAGGTGATATGTGAACGCGTTTCACAGAAACTCCAAGCTAGAATTAAACGCTATTTAATTCTATTTGACCTTTAATGACCAGTCAGTTCTGTAAACTACGTATTCTATAAAATAGTTTTTTGGTTGACTTTTTGTGAAAACAAAGAAACTCAGCTTTATAAACTAATACGTGTCAATGTCAATGTTTTCAGAGTTCTATTAGAATTAGCCATCACTTTAGTGTAATGAGTCAATAGGTCCAATCATCTGAATGTATATCCGTATGATACATGTAAACACACCTTCATTAACAACCGTATAGTGTTTGGTAAATTACGAAAATACTTGAAGTACATTTTATTATTTTTTTTCAGAATAATTATGCAAAATCTTTTTTTAAAATTAATCTTTAACAGATGTCATTGTTATTGTCGCCAGTGTAGTCGTTCTTGCTGTAGACAGTGACAGAAATATGTTCGCAGCAAGTGCACTAAGAGGATTGAGATTCTTTCAAATTTTACGTATGATACGAATGGATCGCAGAGGTGGATCATTTAAATTATTAGCATCTGTTGTATGGGCACATAGACAAGTAAGTAAAGGTATTTATATTATTTATTTAAAAACATGATCTCGTTTAATGATTTTGGATTGAGGTACCAATAAGTTATTACGAACAAAAATCAATTAACTTATCACTAACTGAAAATTGATATGAAAATGAGGGATTATCCGAACATTTCATTATTATTAAAGCAACCTCAGATAGGTAAATTTATACAGTTTTACTTGTTAGTTTTCACTATTCAACTTTAGGTTTGTACTTGACCATCTTTTTCTATAATTCATCTATTTGTATCACAAATCACTTAAAGGTGTCGTAACTCACAGAACACGTATAAGCCAAATGGTCCGTATCGGTCAGTTATTCTGCATTGATCATCTATTAGCCAATATGATAATTCTACATGTAATTAGTCGTGATTATTTAAGAGTTTCGAATTAATCATAAAGTAAAATGAAAAATTTTACATGGGACTTTAAATGAAATTTTTACGCTGGATTACGTTTCGATTACACAGAAAATTTTCAGTACGAGTAACACTCAAAACAAACATGTGTCAACGAGGGTAGACATAGTCATTTTCAATCAGATTCCAAAGGAATTACGGGAAAACTTACTTCTCATTTGAGTAGCAATGAACCTATGTGCGAGATTTCCAACCGGTTCCCCCCCCCAAGGAAAAAATATAAAAGTGCATGAGCTATGATATTGCAACATTTAGCTCTAAAGCTCACGTAATATGATATTATTAACTACAATATTGTCAGTTATTGTAAACCTATTGATAAGATATACTGTTAGAGCTAATCCATGACGCGTTAATAAACGATACATAATTACTAAGTCATTCTTGTTGCGTACAAGTGTTATTTAAAATATCAATGCTGTAAAAATATTTGAACCTTCATGTAAACATTATTGGTCATAAAACGTTTGCACATAGTTCTTGATAATGACTGTCAAGGAAGTAAAGAGATTAAATTTCTGAAAAATCATTCTTTCGTATTTTAAAGACAGATTTTACGCTATAAACAAATTATGTAATAACACTGTTGAATACCGGCTCAGTGGTTTACAGGTTAAGCGTTCGTGCTCAAGATCGAATGTCCTGGGTTCGAGTCTAATGTGCAGCATCGTGGATGCGTATTTCTGAAGAGTCCCATATTAGGACGAGTTGGCCATCCAGTGCTTCCAAATGTTTCAATGGTGGTCTAGCTCACATCGACTCATGAATTCAAATATTGTAGTTATTACAATCTCCACAAACCTACGTTTCGATAATTTGTAATAAAAATAGAATAACAACACTATAGGCAGTTTAAATTTAATATCATTAAAAAGAATTAATACTGAAGAATAGGTTGCTTTTCTGTGCACGGAAATGCGTTACATTTCAATTTCCATTAGTTTGTCATTGCATTCGCTCGTCTATTGCAAAAAACTAGTTACAAACTAATTTATATAGACATTTATGCTTGGTAATCTTGCGATATATACATATTCGTGATGCATTATTCCATGAATATAGCATAACGGATGATTATTTCATCTCAGATAAACTGGGACGGAAAGGCGGTGACGCTAGTGAAAATAATAATAATAATTCTACAGATAGCATCAGTCTATGATTCAATAAAATAAATCTCTACAAAACCATGTGATGAAATAATTATCAGTAATTTACGTTTGGTTTTAATTTTGTTAATAATCTTCCCATTTATTTATTCCCCATTCATTTTTTCATATGCATAATAAGCAAAAAAGAAGAAGCATATATATATCATGTACTTACTTATTTACGCCTGTTACTCCCAATGGAGCATAGGCCACCGACCAGCATTCTCCAACCCACTCTGTCCTGGGCCTTCTTTTCTAGTTCCATCCAATTCTTGTTCATTCTTCTCATTTCTCTCTCCATTTCTCAAAGTAATGTGTTCTTTGGTCTTCCTCTTTTCCTTTGGCCTTGAGGATTCCATGTAAGGGCTTGTCTTGTGATGCAGTTGGGTGCTTTCTTCAATGTGATATATCATATACAGTTCACTCTATACCAATATCCCTCTGTGTAATATGAAAATAATCGATCATATCTGTGTTTATTATAACTAATCCGATTGTTATTGTCCCAATTGTTGTTCTTCTTTCCTATGCTTATATATTTATCCAATAAATTTCTGTTATTTTTTTTGTTTGTTTTTATATTTCATAACTTATCTACAATATTACGTCATTGGATTACATTTAATCTTCTTTATTTTGTTTTCTCTTTGGTCTTTTCATTATGTTTTTTTTATCATTATTTATTTTTCTTTATTTAGGAATTATTCACAACGGTGTATATTGGATTTTTAGGTCTTCTATTTAGTTCATTCTTGATATTTTTAGTTGAAAAGAAAGAAAATGAAAAAATTCGTACATATGCAGATGCATTATGGTGGGGTGTAGTAAGTTAATTATTTATTTATTCCTGTATTTATTTATTTATAGTTCATCATGTAGATGTTTAACTTTTCATTACAGTTAGTTACTAAGTTACTTGATTAATTATTTCTTTATTTGAAAAATACCTTTCATGTTTCTAGTTATAATTATCATCGATTTTCTGTTGTGTTTGTTTTTATTTCTTCATTATAATTATAATTCCACTTAATGGATAATAAGTTTATAATGTTTTAAGTAAGACAGTTTAACTATTTTATTGCATAGAAACAAACATAAATTTCAACAGTCTAATCTATATTCATTGAATAATCATTAAGTGGTAACATAATTCTGAAGTGTTATAAAGAGTTGAGTTAGAAAAAAACAACCACATGTTATTCAAGATTTGGATAAAAACAATCGAAAAGTAGGTTTGATGGTTACTTCAATGAATGATATTCAATGATCTATATGAGATTCAAGAAACATTCGATGACAAATACATATACTATTGATATATATATATATATTACCTTTTCTACTGTCTACATTCATTTCAATGATTGACTGATGCATGATTTTATTAAAAGCTCAATGAAGTATAAACTTACTGGATAATTATGATAATGAATTTCTTGTAATGAACAAATATGATCATGCAATCATTGATAGATTCAATTTAGAATAATCGTTTGTTATAATTTGTAAATATCTTTGACAACAAATATATATGATTGGTATACGTTAAGTATTCATTATTAGCCGAATAACTTTTATATTAGTAAACAATCAAATCTATCTTGATAAATAATACACAACCTCTATTGTTTTTGTTGAAATACTCATCAAACTATTTTCTTCATCAAGTATACTGTTATAACTTGTGGCCTTGTGCCCTATTAATATATAACATAATGTTATTACCAATTAGAGAACAGTGATTTGTCAACCGGACCAATGACGCATAAACCTGTGCGAGTAGTCTAGAGTCCTTATCAGTCCTTCTTCCTGCCTATCTCTGCCTGTTGAATTCAAAACAACAATCTCAGCCTCGGCGATATAAATCATGTATTTAAGACATACTGGGTTTATATACAAACCAAACAGAGTACATCGCACCACAAAATAGAAAACAACATTTGCACAAGATCTAGCCAAAAGTGACTGTGGATGTGGGAGATCGTAATTAGTAGACTTGGTGTGCCTAAAGAATGGTAATAGTCTATGAGTCAAAATAAAGCTTATAATAAGAGGAAAATGAATATGTATATTACAGGTACTTAACAATTCTACAGTAAAATTATATGGATTGGTGCATAAATAGTTCCCAAAAGTTACCATTCATAATTCTCGATGGGATATAACATGTATCTACAAAATGATACTTGCTTTCATTGTTACACATGCGATAGATTTATTCTGATCCAGTTCAGAAAACTATAGACATTACAATACATAATTAACTTTTATTTATTCAGCGCTTACTAATGAGATTCAAAGTGTTCAACTAGCTAGATCTTTACAGAAATGTACAAATAAATACCAATGTAACTGTAATTTCACGAAACTTTCCATAATAATCTATAAAACGAGTTAATAATGTGAACATAATCAACGATTTTATGAAAATTCTTAATTAATAGTTAAAAAAATCACAACAACAACAACTGATTCTGGATTATATTCCAGTTTAGGTTACTATATTCACTATGTAAGCGAATAAAAGTTATTTACAGTCTTATAATTCATTCCTAAACCACTGATATTGAGATTGATCTAAATGACTTAGCTGCTTGATGCCAGAAGTAAGCAGCTGAATTCTTGCAATCTCTTTATATTAGCTACTTTTGAGAGAAATGAAATACTTCTAAAAAGAACACAAGTGGAAACAGTCGAATATATTCGAATACACAATGACAGAATATCTTAGTAAAATCTGTGAACCATAAAATAAATTCATTTACAAAATGTCAATCAATTGTCTCAGACTTGATTATTCCTTCATTTTCACACCAATCATTCTTTGTTCTCGTTTTCTTTTCTTTAATCTTCTTAATCTTCTACCGCCAGGCATTTTACTTTCGATTGCTATTGCATATTACTTGTATCTGTCGACATCAGTAGTACACATTACAATGATATACAAATACAGTAAATGTTATATTTACCAGGAACACATTTCAGTTTAAATCTCACATATACTTTTAAATATTCGGTTAAGTATACACTCGAACTGTTAATAATAATTAATTCCTATAACATGACTGATTAAAGTAAACTATGTAAATTATGACATCCAAATAAATAAAATGGATATTCTATCAATACGTTTGAATAGGGGTTTTTTTTCTTTATTCTTTTGTTTATATTAATTAATTCGTATTGTTAACAAACAAAAAAAAGAGCGAGGTAAGTTTAAAATAAGAACAAATTGACATTTTCTCCTCATTATCATGTATTTGTATAGAAAAGTAAACATTATACATAATGATTTTCTTCAGAAATTATATATTCTATAATTAACAAATGACATTGTTGAAATAGAAATCCTCTTCATTAAACTAACATATTATGTAATACGAGTAATGATGAAAATTATATGGACTATATAATATGAACATGGTGAATTAATCTTCTTTTACGATTACAATTTGGCCGATCAATACAATCTTGTACAATAGTTCATTCGTCAGCACTTTTTTACTGAATATATAAAATGATTGGATTTTACATTGTTTCTTTTATAAACGATTATAAATGAAGAGAACTGTAATATAGATTTATATTTGTTAATCTATATGTATATGTATATATGTATACATCATTTAACTCTCCCTTTCTCCTTACTTTAAATACATAAATTAGATAACATTATGTACTGTAGGTTATGGTGATAGCGTACCACAATCTGGTTTGGGCAAAACTATTGCAGGATGTTCATGTTTGGCTATAATATCTTTCTATGCCTTACCACCGGTAAGCGAAATATCAGCATAATTCTCATCATTTTAGGACAATCCAATATAAATATATATAAACATTCATAATATGAAGAACAGAAATATATATATATATATATATCCAATAGTTTTGGAGTGATTCATCAACAGTTGTCCTCAAAATAGAAATAATAAATCACAATAAATAAATAAATAAACCCAATTGACAAATAAAGTAATATCAAACTAATTACAACATCTACCAATCAATTTAATATTATATAGAAATATATCTTCAAACATTTGATGATATGCCTTAATATGATCATACGAAGTAATAGGCTAAGTGTTAGTTTGATATCACATATTGGTTAAGTCATTTTCGATTGTCAATTCCAATGGTGATATGTCCAAAAATAAAGTGTTTTCATTTGTATTTTATTTTAAATTTAATTAAAATGATACTGAAAATACATAGAAGATATACTACTAACAAAAAAAAGCTAAAGAATAATATGTACAATTCTCACATTTATATTGTTTAACATTAACTAATCTTTTTAAATGGACTTATGATTTCAACTATTGAAATTACTAAAATCTTCACAAAACCTCTTCTAATAATAATCATCTGCTCACTAGTGATTGACTTCAAGAGGCATTTCTTGGAGTTCTTGTGAGAATTTGTGACCAATGAAATTCAACCAGGTCTGTTGTGAGATATCAGCTCATTGCCTTTATCAATTACTTACAAGTAACCTTGAGTATGTTTTATTTGTTTGCATGGTAGTATGTATGTGTCTATTCACATCCTACATTTCTTACATGTCTTGCAAAAATTGAGTTATCTTATTACTGTTTGATTAGCTGTATTACCGAACCCCAATGCTTTACTTATTCGTAGTATCTTTTATTATTTGTTTGCTTTCCAAAGTTAACATATCTGTGATATATGTATCCTTAAAACAATTCGTATTCAATTTTGATATGTTGTCTTTAGTTGACAAAACTTATACGAGGTTCAGTAAGGTATATATATTATTATCATTATTGTCGATTTTATTGGGCTTAGACAATTAATAATGAAATAACAAGCCTGATATGATTGCTGCAATCCAAATTACAGCTGTTCCTTTGGAGAAAGCTATGTTGGGCGCACGACCAGACAACTGAGCCAAAGAGTTAGAGAACATCTCCCTTCGTGGTTAGGAAGAGGTAACGTCAAGACAAAACGCAGCTCGATTCTATCACACTTGATCGATAGCGGTCATGTAGTGGACAGAAACAAGTCATTTAAAGTTATTTATCGTATTCCTAGTAGTTTTCCTTATGATGTTTGATCTAGTCTCTTGGACATAGCAGAATCTATAAGAATTCGAGCCAACAACCTAAGTCTTTGTGTTCATAAGAAATTTGTAACACCCTTATCTTTCCCTTGGCCTTAATAAATAATTTTATTTATTATTATTTTCCACACTCTTGCTTCGTCTATTTTTCTTCACACCCTCCCACCCTTTTCTTTTCTCAAATATACGCTTCACGGTCCAATTATCTGAACACCTCCTATTACGCAATCTTATAATCTTTCTATGAATGTTATTTCAGTGCTTATATTTTTCTATTCATTGACCTATTCCCGATAATGTAACACTGATTTAAGTCTTTGTTATTCTTATCACAACTAGTGCTCCTGTCATCACACTATCAATTTGCACTTTTCACTTATTTATGTCATCTATTCCTTTGTTACCACTGCCTCATAAACTACTTTGATTGGTTGAATAATTTCATATATGCATATAAATATTACTGAATATTAGAATAAAAGCCTGATAAGGATCTAATCGAAAACAATATTTTTCGCTTATATCTATGTTGTTCTAAATTACACCTAAATGAAGATATCAAGTGTTGATTCATTTTTTAATAATTTCTAAAAATTCACTAAAATGATTAATATGAAGCATTGTACTTGAAATAGTTAACATTTTCACATAGTCAAAAAGACTTTATTTTTCATTATCATAATTGACACATATCACTTATTCAATGAACTACATTGTCCGTTTGCTTTCTGTTTCTAT